CACTGCAAGCTCCGCCTCCCGGGTTCCGCCATTCTCCTGCCTCAGCCCCCCGAGTAGCTGGGACCACAGGCGCCGCCACCTAACCCGGCTAGTTTTTTGTGTTTTTTTTTTTTATCTTCTAGCCAGTTCTATATGCTAGTAACTATACCCACATTTCTTTCACAGATGAAATTCTTGTGCTTATTTATTCCTTCCTTTTTCCATGTCTTTCTTCCTCAACTGTGGCTTCTTTGACACTATTTGGAAAAATAAACTTAGATGTGATGACACTAAAACTTAATCTAATCTTAACTCCAAACCTGAGTTTTAATGAACTTCTGTCTCTCAAAATTATTCTCGATTTTATCTTTCTATTTAGAAGTGATCGAGTTTCCCAACTTTGCAGATTTTTGGTTTCCTTGTATTCTTTAAAATACCTTTATTGACACAAAATTAACATACCATAAAATTCACCCTTTTGAAGTGTACATTCAATAGTCCTTCGTAGGTTCACAGTTACACAATTATCACCAGTATCTAATTTCCGAATCCTTTAATCACTCCTCCTTCAGATAACTCCATACCGATGGGTTGTCAATCCTCATTCCCCTGCCCCTGGACCCCAAGAAATCACAAGCCTACTTTCTGGTTCTATAAATTTGCCTGTTCTGGACATTTCATATAAATAATATTATACAATATGTGGTCCTTTGTGTCTGGCTTCTTTAACTTTGCATAATACTTTAAATACTGATTTTTGCTGTAGCATGTATCAGTATTTCATTCCTTTTAATTGCCATCTTTATGTCATGAGTACCCAATGGTTAGCTTCCATTCATAAGTGAGAACATGTGGTATTTGGTTTTCTGTTCTCATATTAATTTATTCAGGATAATGGCCTCCAGTTTCATTCATGTTGCTGCAAAGGACATGATTTCTTCCTTTTTCATGGCTGTGTAGCATTCTATGGTGTATATGTAATTGTATGTATTCAATTGTAACTTTTTAATTTAATTGTAACTTTGTACCCATTTAATTATTATTTAATCATAATTAAATTGTATTATTTATATTTTGTTACTGTAATAATACAATTAATTGTATAGTTTAATTATAAATAAAAATTATAATTCATTATTATGTTTATTTGTAACTTTATACCCATTTAATTGTAACTTTGTACCCATTAACTAACCTCTCCCCACCCTTTCCTCCCTCCCCTACATACTCCCTAATCCCTGGTAACCACTGTTCTACCCTCTATCTTCCTGAGAGTAACTTTATTAGCTCCAATATATGAAGGAGAACATACAATATTTGTCTTTCTGTGTCTTACTTATTTCATTTAACATAATGTCCTGTAGGTTCATCCGTGTTGTCACAAATAAGATTATATTCTTTTCATTGCTGAATAGTATTCTACTGTGTATATAAACCACATTTTCCTAATCCATTCATCTGTTACTGGACACTTAGGTGGATTCCATATCTTGGCTATTGTGCAAAGTGCTGTGATAAACAGGGGAATGCAAATATCTTTCTGACATACTAATTTCATCTCTTTTGGGTATACACCCTGTAGTGGGTTTGCAAGATCATATATTATTTCTATTTCTAACTTTTGAGGAGCTTTCATACTGTTTTCCATAATGGCTGTACACATGGTATTAGGTTTTCTGTTTCTGATTTCGTTGGCTTAGCATAATGGCCTCCAGTTTGATCCACATTGCTACAATAGACATGATCTGATTTTTTTTTATAGCTGTGTAGAATTAATGGCATATATTCATCATATTTTTTAAATCCACTCTACTATTGATGGGCATTTAGGTTGATTCTATGTCTTTGCTATAGTGAATATGGCTGCAATAAATATACACTTGCATGTGTCTTTACGTTAGGACAATTTATATTCCTTCGGGTATACACCCAACAGTGAGATTGCTGGGTCAAATGGTAGTTCTGTTTTCATGATAATGTATTGCTGCTAATAGACTACTATCAAATGAGTAGTAATGATATGTCAGGAATTGTGTCAACTGAATTCCTGATATTAATTCCATTTTATGCCCAAGATAAGTTTGTAATATAAATATTATTTTCCACATTTTGGAATAAAGCGATTAAAATCCTGGTTGATTTGTTCTTCAAATCAATCAAACACTGATTAAGGAAAATAAAAGGGGTTTAGAATGATATAAAAATAATCGTTGATATGACCCAAAATTCAGATGACAATAATTGTGAAATCCTGGTCCTGGGATAAAAGAAAGATAGAACTAAATCCAAATGATCATATAACATTACTAATAAAGCAAATTTGAAAAGAAACAAAAGATTCATTGACACATATTATGCATAGATACTTTATTCAGGGAGTGAAAGGAAAGTGACAACTACACAGGTGGTAGAAGCTCATGCCCAGGGGACAGACAGACACAGAACACATCAACAGAATTCTCTGATGGTTCTCAAGGAGAGAGCTGCAGCTCTTTCTTCTGAAGCTCTGGAAGCCGACACAGCCCAGGACTTCCTTTTCTCAGCTCCACCTGGACAGTGGCAGTATGGCAGCCTCAGAAAGGAAACCTTTTGCTGTCACGGATCATCACGGGCAGGTCACTGGTTAAGGAGAAAGAAGCTCCCTGTGCATCCATAGAAGGCTTTGGTGAGAAGATGCAGGTGGAGCTGTGGAACAAGGTGAGCCCATTATCTTTATCCTTTCATGGTCCTGATGAATCCTGAAGCTGTTACTTGCTCTTGGGTGGACACTTTGGCTGGCAGGGTGGGGAAGGTGGCACAGGAGGATATTTCTGCTGGCACTGCTGAGGTGGGCAGGGCTGTGGACACTTTGGTGGTGGGCAGGGCTCAGGGCACTTCGGGGGTGGACATGGCTCTGGGCACTTTGGCGTGGGGCACACAGGAGGTGGCTGGCAGGGCTGCTTGTACTGCTGCTGTTGATAAGACATCCTGCTGGAGTCTCAGAATCTGAAGGAAATGATACGACAGTGTTCACGGGAAGGGACTCCTCCAGAGAGAGAAGCCAAAACTTATGTAATACCATGAAATATTATTACTCCCTCTCCAAGAAATTATTTAAACTCTTAACTGCCTTTTCAAGACTCCCTCATTTCTCCCTTCCACTTTAGCAAATTGCTTCCTTGGCCCTGGGAAATCTTGTGTTTTGTCATACAATTTTTCCAAGGAAAATATCTCTGTAGTAATGAACCAAGCATGTCATCTCCGTGAAAATAACATCTTTAGGAAAGGCAGTGGCAAGTTCAGATACCATAAGCAATCTCACAAGCCATTTCTATTATCATTATCTGTAGTAAAGTCCCAGTGGGTTGATGTGAGCACAGAACAAAGGGCTGTTTGGGAAGGATTGTAGACTCTTGGCACCTGTTAAGACACAAACCTTTGAAAAAGACACCAGGAAAACATGGGGAAAAAATACTTTGTTCTTTTTTCTTCTTAAATTCAAAGCTTTCCTATTAAATTCTCTGTCCATATGGACACCTAACTGTATACAAGAAACAAGCTAAGATAGAATATCACCATACTCTAATTCTAAATTTCCATCTACTAAGTAACATCAAACCCATGGTCACAGAATTGTATCAACCAAACTTGCTGTTTTCAGATTAAATTCAACATTTCAGGGCATAAAGAACTGAGGAACTTAAGGACTCACACTCACCAGGTTCTCCAAAGCAGATCGGTGCTAGAGTACCAGGAGTTTAAGAGTGGTGCAACAGGGAACCTCTTTATAGGACTTGCTGCCCCACCCAGTGGGAAGTGGGAACTGCCTAAAAGTGGGCTTGTCCAGCAACGTCGAAAGTAAAATACAAATGTATCCATATCTGGCATGAGAGGGATTCTCAAACTAGGAAATATCCTGTTCTGGGATCTCCCCACTGGGTTAAGTGCTTATGACTCACAGAGGACCTGCCTTAGATCTCAGTTTCAGTGACTTATGTCAGAGAGATAATCAAGGGATTCTCTAACTGGTTGTCCAGGGCTCTCTTTCTTGATTGGGAACAGCGATCCTTTCCTATCTTACCCACTCTGAGTCATAAAACTTCCTGTCCTCATCCACTCTAGCTGAATGCCATATTGTTGTACATGAACCCAACTCTACCTCTACTTTCCTCCTACAATTGGCCAATGTGCTAGAAGGAAGGAGAGACCTAACAAAGGCCTGAGCTAAGCTTTTTCTTTGCTAAGTTCCATGACGGCAGGCATGTCACCTCTCCTCCCTGGGATTATAAACAGAGGAGAATAATACTTACCTCTGGGTTTGCAGGCTGACCACATTGTGCTATCTGCTGATCCTGTTCAAGACTGAAATTTTCTTTGCCACCTATTTCTCGCATAAAACCTCAGATTTTTACGTATATTCCTTTCCTCTTTGAAGCTGTCTTCTATACCACATTTGTAGCTTCTACACTACATTCGTAGAGGCAATTGCATCCCAGGACAGATTCGAGAGCAAGATCTAGTCTCCCCAGCACGTTTGCTACTTTCTGCCATTAAGGATGTGTACTACAGCCTTTTTGTTTATAAAAGGTAATGGAGAGAAGGAAACCAAAGTTACAAGTATTCACTCAAAATCTATGTATGGAACCATGCCTATATGGTTCCCTGTGAACATCCTATAGAGAACAAGCTGTATAGACATTATCGTATGTAAATAATTAAAAGTAGGTTTGCAGAGTGAGGAAGGTCAGAGCACTTAAAGTCTAACTCTGAGGGAAAATACAAACAAAAGGTAATCCAATATGTATTCTTCCTCTCTATTTCCAAACAAGTTTTAGATGCTTCTCAGTGTTTTTTAATTTGTTTGCATGTTCTTCCTTTTTCTTTTCCATAAACCTTCTAGTCCCTCAAACTGCTAGATTATCAACTCATACCCCAATGTACACCTCTCATCTGTCCATTTTGGTACATATTGTTCACTTAACACATATATTGTCAATGCATTCAGTGATTGTTCTTTCACAACTTTTTAAAACTCTTCCTGCAATCAGTGAGCTTTTCTAAGTATTGTGTATTAAACATTTAAAGTGATGTTGCTACAGCTTCCTTATCTGGACCATTAATCAGGAAGTTCTCCAATAATGTGGTTTTAGAAGTGAATAAGAAGAAAGGAGAATGAGGAAGAGGAAAGACTCAAAATCACTGGAGCAGTCACCAGCTGTCTCCGGGAAGGGCAGGAGTGTTGAATGAAGCCAGCGTAACATCCCTCTCAGTTAAGCAGGTTAGGCACCCAGAACAGCTGTTGCTCTTGTCAGTAAGGAAGAGCTTTTGGCCAAGATCACCACTGCCCAGGACACTACAGAAATAGAGTCATCATGTCAGCACCCTGAAGCCAGGTGTTTACAAATGGTGTTCTCACTAAATGCTTCCTATAGACTATTATACATGCCAAGCACTTCACTGGGCAAAGTAAAGGTCATTTACTCAATAAATCACCTACTACTCCCCAAGAGCCTCACATCACATCTAAAACATAAATCCATAGAGAAATGTCTGATTTCTGCCATGCAAAACTGAAGAATTCGCTGCCAAATGAGATCACTGTGTGAGATAACACAGTTTAGGTCACACCCTGAGACTCCCCTTCTGAAGACACCCCACTCAAACAGGCTGCTTATCACAGCAGTACAGGCACCAGAGTGGCAGCAGCCCTAGTGCCCCCAGCATCTCAGACAGGGTCACTTTACAAGTTGAGGTGGAGAACTGGAAACTCACAGTTCCTCACAGACCATACATGAAGAGCGACCACAACATGAAGAGGGGCAGCTAGGAGTCACAGTTTCCCCACGTTAGGACATCCAGGCCCTGAGACATGGAGCAAGGCACACTTCACACACACACACACACACACACACACACACAGAGACACGCACACCTCATGGGTCTTTATCATCTATCTTCATGTCTAAAGAGCTTAGCTTTATGTTCTTTAAGAGTCTAATAGCCTGGCTGGGCGCAGTGGCTCACGCCTGTAATCCCAGCACTCTGGGAGGCCGAGACGGACGGATCACGAGGTCAGGAGATCGAGACCATCCTGGCTAACACGGTGAAACCCCGTCTCTACTAAAAATAAAATTTAAAAAAAAAAAAAAAAATTAGCCAGGCGCGGTGGCGGGCGCCTGTAGTCCCAGCTATTCGGGAGGCTGAGGCAGGAGAACGGCCTGAACTCCGGGGGGCGGAGCTTGCAGTGAGCCGAGATCGCGCCAATGCACTTCAGCCTGGGTGACAGAGCGAGACTCCGTCTCAAAAAAAAAAAAAAAGAGTCTAATAGCCTTAGGTTCATTCCTATTACTTCCACTCCATAATTTTCTAGGGGATCATTAGGTATGAATTATTAGTACTTAAAAATGACGGGAAAGAACAAAAAATTTATTTGGTCTAATACTTGATTCAACATTTTATCTCACATTTTACTATGATACATTCCACTAAACCAAATAGTGCTAGCAAATGAAGATTTAAAATTAAATATGTAAACAAATAAAGAAACAAGAATCGTGGCAAAATATTCTTCTTATGCTCAGAGAAATGGTAACTGTAAGCCCCCATGCATATCTGCCTTCTGCTTTTATTTCTGAATGGAAGGTTTAGTCTCCATTGTCTTTCCATAATTCGATGTATCAGATAAATATACGGTAGAATTCTGAAGATAATTAAGAAGGATGTTTTGAAAGATTATTTAATATTATTTAAAATCTTCAAATTTTACTAAAATTTATGTAAAGGATGATAACATTTTCATTAACATGTATTTATTAAAAGTTAGAAAATATGTAAAACAACCAATTAAATGTGATTATATTTGGCTGGTATAATTATAAATGATGTTTATTTTCCGGTTTTACTTTTCAAAATATTCTCCCAATGTTACCTATTATTGAGTAAGGAATCTTAAAATCCTACTTTGTAAAGCTGACAGAGACAAGCCTGTCCATTGTCCAATTAGTGAGAAAACGGTCTTCCTTCTTTTCAGCATTTTTGGCCAGACACTAAAGGTGGGACTGGATGTAAGTAGCAGTTGTTTTATTGTTATAGCTCTACATTTGATCACCTCACTACTAAAATCTTTCTTGAAGAAAACCCCAGGAATAACTCCCGTCCTCATAGCATTGACATATACACACAGAAGCCACAGACACTCCATAGCCATATGTATCTCATATGTATCTATGAAACAGTTTACCAAAATTAGGAGATCATACTAGGGTAAAAAAATTCAGGAATGAGTTTGACTACTGTCCAAGAGCCAGGGGGATGGAAAGCATAAATTGGCCATAATATGATGAAATTGGAAGAAATGGGTGATTAGTAGAACAGGTAGTAACGATAATAGAAGATAGTGATAATAATAGTACCTACCGCTAATTGTCATGAGAAAACAACTAAAGCAGAGACTGCATTTAAAGTATCTAGCACAGGCTACAGATAGGACTCAAAATGCTAAAGTAACATATTGTTAATGAAAGAGATAGAGGCAAGATATCAAGTTCAAGTTGTTTATGGTTGAGAAAGTTATTTGCTTCACCTTTAACATCTTTTATATTATCTTATTGAAGTGTGTGCCAGAAGTTTTTAGGACAAAGCAAATGCAAATATGTGATTTAAATGAAGTGTGCAGAAACAATACGATGGGATGATTTTGACACTTATTCTATGTGATGAAAATGAGATGTTAACATAAGCAGAGATTTTGAGCATAGGATAGAAACCAGGTGGTTTAATTGTTCCCTGACGTTTGGACTCTCTCTGACTTTCCTCTGAATTCAGTTAATATAAGAAAATAAATCTAAATACAATAAATAGCAATATGTGGATTTGTTCATGTGTAAAAACAAATAGCATTTACAGAGATTTAGCATTCTGTGTGAAAAAAATATACAATGTTACCTCCAATTTGGTTTGCTGTTACTGTAGTTAGTTGTTTAGGATAATAAAGAAATCATTCCTTTAAATATCACTTTCCTTCTGGTGGCAAATTACCTAAATTTTAAGCTAAATCCTTATAAGAAACTGAATAGCTCTTTAGCATTAATCTTCCCAAAGTGAATAGACCCTATATATTCTACTTTTATTGTCTCTATATGTTAGATTAGTGTATTTAAAAGCATAATTTCAAGAGCTATTAGTAATATAAAGGAATCCTATATGCTTAGTGTTAAGATGAGAATGAGAAGGATATGTGGTAAATAATGGAATGAATCAGATACTTCTTTTTGTAAGAATCTTTTCAAGATAATGAACTTGCATAGGCCATGGTTTCCCTCCAAAAAAGTTAAAAAGGAAAACAAAGAAACACAGACAAAATTGTGAAAACATTTGGAGAGAAAAAACTGTTTGAACTCTAACATATAAGACAAGAGACCTGAATTCTGCTGTAAGTGGGAGAAAGGCTAAATAAAACATAAAAGTTATGAGAAAAGTCAAAACTAATTCACAATCTTAAAGAGATAAACATAATTTTATTATATGAGTCAACAAAAGCACATTCAAAAATTGATCTAACAGATTTCAAAATATGTTGACAAAAAATAATCTGCATTCAAATAATTATAGCAGCTTTATTCATAATCTCCAAGATCTGTGATCTACCAAGATGCCCTTCAATAATTCAATTGATTAACTGGGGTGCATCACACCCAAGCAATGGAATACTATGCAGTGATAACATGGAATGACCTATCAAAACTCACAGACATGGCTGAATTTTAAATGAAGCTGATACATAAGAAATAGTCTCAAAGGTTACATACTGTATGGTTCCATTTATACAAATTCTGAAAAATGCAAAATTACACATCCAAAAAGAACAAAAAACTCCCAGTTAAATTAATTCAATGACACCCATACTGAGACGTATTATAATTAAACTATCAAAAGAGAGAATATTGAAAGCAGCAAGAGGGAAGTGAATCATCATATCTAAGGGATTATTAATAAATAGTTGACCAAATTCTTACCAAAAATCTTTAGGATCAGGAGGCAATGGGATGATAAATTGAAAGTAAAAAAAACCTAGACTTCTTTCAACCTAGAATTCTACAGCTGGCAAAATTGTCCTTAAAAATGATGATAAAATTATAATGTTCTTGGAAATCAAAACTTAAGGCAGTTCATTACCCCTAGATTTTCTGTATGAGAAATGATAAAGAGAGCCTCTGAGGTTGAAAAAAGTGCTGGAGAGAAATTTGAAACTGTATGAGAACACAAAAATCTCTGGTAAGTGTATACAGGTACATAAAAGCCAGCATTATTGTAATTTTAGCTTGTAACTCCACTTTTTATTTTCTACAAGATTTAAAATGCAAATGTGTACAAAATAATTGCAAATCTGTGTTAGTGAACACACAATGTATAAAGATGTAATTTGTGAACTCAACATAAAAAGAGGATAAGATTGTATGAGTGAACTTTTCTTGTTTTTATTTTTATTTTTATTTTTGAGACAGAGCCTCACTCCATCACCCAGGCTGAAATGCAGCGGCAAGATCTTGGCTCACTGCAACCCCCACTTC